TGGGATGGAAATTTGACCTACAGGGAGTTGGATCACCTATCCATGCGAGTTGCACATCACCTCCGCCAACTCGGTGTGGGCCCTGAAGTTTTCGTACTCAGCTGCTTCGAGAAGTCCACCTGGGCTATCGTAGCCCGGCTTGCTATATTGCGAGCCGGAGGGGCCTACATCTCGATACATGCTAGCAATCCACCAGCCTACTTGCAATCCGTTATAACCCGGACAAAGACACGCATTCTCCTGACCGATGCGCACTATGCATCACATTTTCGAGAGACTGTCCCGGTCATTGTGCAATTATCACCCGAATGGATTCGTACTCTCCCACTAGGGAACAGTGAAAGAGTCTGTGATGTGGTACGACCTGACAATGCATGTCTGGTTCTCTTTACTTCCGGCAGCACCGGGACGCCCAAGGGAATCGTCCAAACCCATCAAGCGTACGCGAGTGCCATTCGTAACTATGCGCAGAAGCTTGGACTTGACAACAATACAAGATACTTCCAATTCGACGATTATGCATTCGACATCAGCAACTTAGAATTCTTAGTGCCTCTCATTGTTGGTGGTTGCTGCTGTGTGCCGAGGCCGATGAAGACAGCTCAAGACTTGTCACGAGAAATCAACACGCTCAAGGCCAACATCATCTTCTTAACGCCTACGGTAGCCATCAAAATGAATCCCGCCGACGTCCCATCTCTTAGAATAATGTGTGTTGGAGGAGAACCTCTACCAAAGGACCTCGTAGCCAAATGGAATGGCAGTTCCACCAAGCTAGTCAACCAATACGGCATGGGAGAGGTCGCCATCTGCTGTGCTCTCAACGAGGACATCGATCCCACGGGAGGCGCCAAGATCGGTCGTCCGCCAACCGGGGCCATCTGGATCGTCGACCCCTCATCACCCGAACGGCTCATGCCCATCGGCGCCGTAGGCGAGCTGCTAATCGAGGGTCCGCACCTCGCGCGCGGGTACCTCGACCAGACCGCCACGCGCCGCACCGAAGCCGGGTTCCTAACCACGGCCCCGCGGTGGATGACGAGCATGCACCCCGACCGGGGCGCGCCGCGGATCTACCGATCGGGGGACCTCGGCCGGCGCAACCGCGACGGCACCATCACGTACCTCGGGCGCAAGGATACGATCCTCAAGCTCGACGGGTGCCGCATCGACGCGCTGGAGGTCGAGCACCAGGCGCGGAAGTGCCTCTCGGCCGCAGACACCGTCGTCGTGGACCTGCTGGGCGTGATTAACGGGCAGGAGGACCCGAGCCTGACGGCGTTCCTGTATCTGGACGGGCACTCGTACAACACCGAGCCGCAGGGTAGTGGTAGCGCGCCCGTGTTCAAGGACACGGCGCAAGACGCGGCGCTAGCCGCGAAAGCGGAGCAGATCAAGGCTGCGGTTGCGGAGGTGCTGCCTCGATACATGGTGCCCACGACGTTTGTGCTTATGCCTTGGGTCCCCCGCACGGCGTCCAAGAAGATCGATCGTAAGAAGATACATGTCCTAGGTCAGGCGTTTTACCTCTCCCGCTTGAAGCAGCGAAGTAAGGATAGGGAGTATGCGCAGAGGATACAGACTCTACCTATGTAATAGGGTGGTGAGATGGGCTTATTGGTTTTAGGTTGGGGTATTGGGGTTTGGATAAGCGCGTAGGTTGTTTGTATTCTGGGGTAGGGGGTAGATGGTGCGAATGTGTGTTGAGGGGTATATGGTCTGGTCAGGACCTAGCGTGAGTCTGTTCATCCGGGAAAGTTAAACAAAAGCGTTTCTACCAAGTTTTTGCTACCCAAATTGAGTGTTCCGTATTGTGTCCATCCTAACATATTTGATTCGTTTGCCTCTACGACGTTACGCCCCTTGTTGTAGAGATGAGGCAAAAGGTGGAGAGTTCTCAGGTCTGCCTAGGAACACCGAGTTTACCTTCATACAGCACGTGAGTAGGGGTAGAGTAATCTTCAGGAACGTAATATAGTAGAAGCAGCTTATGTGCCAGCTTATATCTATACTTCATGCTTCTACTCCTGATGCTCATGACCAACCCGAGAGGAAGGGCTTTCACGAAAATCTCCACACACAGTCTGTTCAGATGCCATACCATCTTTTATTAATTCCTGATAAATAACGGAACTATATGTTTATTTTTCAGGAAATTAAAAGTATATCTACCTATTAATCAAGGGGTTTGGTCAAACTAACTAGAACCTAGAATTTCAGCCTCCATGTTATATAATTCAGATGACGTTTTTAGTAGGAATAGGGGGTAGCTGGCCACGCATGTACTTGATATGGAGTTGTTAATTAATACTAACATTAAGTACCCATTTATAAAGTGCCATAATAGCAGGAGTAGGTCTTTATTTCAGCAATCGTACTATATACCAACCATTCGTTCATCTTCTCGGTGTGCCTGGTTGGTGAAAGTCATTTCAGTTTCATTACATATACCATGGTATCATTAATCTAGATCGGTCCTTTTCGAACATTTTCTTCTCTGTAGCTATTTATTGGGGTGCTTTCCAAGGTATCATAACATGACGTGTTTCTGTTGCGAGGCAATAGGGGCAAGACTTCTTCTTTTAGCCGGTAGGATTCTGGTATTGGGGTAGAAGGAAAGGCATGCATAAGGAGAGAGCGAGATTTTAGGGCTGCAGTGTAGACGGAGGGATGTTTCTCGTTTCATTGCTTACGTACTCGCTGTTGGATAATCCCGTTAAGGAGCTGCTGCTGTACTGTAAATCCTGTATCTTTTCCGTTTCACGTTGTTTCGACGATTCAGGGGAGAGGGCTACATCCTGAATTGCCTTATGTCAAGTCCTACGGTCGGGTTTTCAGTTCCTCATAATTAAAATGCATAATATCTGCTCGTTCAAGTCAATCGGATGCGTTTGACAAAGCATATTTGAGCTTGTAATTGTCATTCTCTGATTGATATACGCATCCAATATAAACTGCATATCATTTTATACAAATGCCATGGACGCCGAAAACTCACCAGGCCAGAGTTCGAAGGCTGCGGTAATTTGCATTGGGGGTGCTCGTGACGCTGGCTATGGGGATGACAGAGCATTGTCTGAAGCGGAATTCTTCTTTCCAGGGCATGTTAACGGACTGACCGACTCCCTGCCTTATTTGAAGTCCAATTCGAGCGCCAGTAGTAGCAGCTCCGTTGCTACCGCATTCGCTGTAGGGCTTGCAGGTCCCATCATGGTTCTCGTCAACATTTCGCCGAAACACGACGAAGAGTTCCCATCAAAGCGGTCTGCAGCGATTTCTCGTAACTATCGAAGGCAACTATAGGATCTAGAGAATATGCGCAAGATATTCCATTATATGCTACCATAGGATGATTTTAATAGATCGACCGAATACCCCAACGCTGTCGTTCTTCCTGTCAAGAAGTTATTCAAGTCCAGTAAACTCCGACGTATCTTGAAGAAACCTACAGATGAAGAAAGGAAGACTAAAGGTCTCTTGTTCATACAGAAACTCGTAGACAGACTCTTACGGTAAGTACAACTTCTTGAGAAGTAACGTCAGAGGCTAATTGGATAGGCCATTCACCGACAATATGGATGACCGGGGAGGTGAAGAAACGGCCAGTGATGACGAGAGTGACTCGATGGTTCTTGAAAACTAGATACTGACTACTACTCCAACGATAAAGTTCCAGAAGTTTTGTATAAAGATTTCCGGGATGGGCTGTTACAATGTCTGCATAATACAAGACTTCAATGGAGGGGTTTGTTACACATTATCTCAGAAGGATGACATTTCCTCCACATACACCATTTAAATAGAGAAGGGGATAAATGGTGTCAGTATATTAGCGGTTTCGTCATTAGTTCAAACAGAGGGGATAACAGGAGAGGTCCGCACCTTTGTAAGCCAAAACACCGTCAATGATGACAAGAAACGTCCCACTAAGCAAGCATCCTAAAAGCTGCGTTCCATTCCATAGCGACAATGTTGCTGCTGCTAATTGACTGCGACTGAGACGGGTTTTAAGCAAGGGTTAACGAAACTGAAGAGGGAAGTGGTTAAAATAGAGCTAACTAGACTAATAGTATGACGGATGAGGAAAGGGGAAATAGAAGGAGACTGTTAAAGGCGTGGATAGGATGTTGTTTAGAAGAAGGAGAACGAAACGGGGAGGCCAGGTATTTATACGCAGTTTGTCAACAACGCGGAGTGAGAAGAGTTGGTTTGACAGCAAGAGTGAAGTGACTAAGACCTTTTATTTAAGAAGAGGACAACTACGGATTGAGGTGTTAAGGGAGTGACTGTCGAAGACATCATGTATTAGTATGTATGGATAGATCTTTCCACAATCACCAGATATAGACTTGCCCGATCTAGTTATTTCAAAATACTAGATTAAAGAACTATGAAATCCTCTCTTAATTGATAGTACATTGTATCTAAATACATAATCATCTAGGCCCCATGATGGTCACAAATCGCTGTAGGGAATCTGAGATGGTGGTCCAACTTATCATGTGATATCATATTCCTTCTGAATATTCATACATTGACTCAACTACATCGAACAGAATCATAGAAAGAGGGAAGAATCTACGTAGCAATTTCATCTTGATATTCATTAATGTGCTGAATATTTCAGGTAGTAGTTGCTATAATGCTATTAGATTCTACCTTGTCTTAATCGACATTGGTGATCTAGAGGAAGGACTCAACGAACGATGAAGAAAACTGTCCGCTTCAGGTCGTATTTTGAAATTTCTCGGTCCAAGCTGATGGCCGTCGAAGATATAAATCTTATTACCAGATCCTACAGTCAGTCACTTGAATACAAAAAAGTATGTCTACACCAAGACCCGCAATGAGCTGTTTTCACCCTTTAAGTTCACTCTATCCCGAACCGACTCCACGCCACTCATCCGCCATCATCTGTAGCATTCGACAACTATGAGCAAGATATAAACATAAATAATACTGCTCTCAGTAAAATTACCCTTTACGCTCCGGATATAAATCCCGAATTGGTGTAGTGGTCAACACGTGACGTTCTCATACTGTATGATTCGTCAAGCCCGAGGTTCGATTCCTTGATTTGGTCATTCTTCTCTTTTTTTCCCCTTTATTTTTTTTTTTATACATTCTTGTTTTGGCCTCTTCATTTCTAGTCACCCAGCCATACCTTTTAATATTTATGCAGGTATCTACCAATTAATCCCCATCCCTCAGTAGCCCTGCTCGGATCCGAATGAACTCGTTAACCGTCGGATCTCGAGGTGCAAGTTTCAGCTCAGATGCCTAAATATCGATGAGTCACGTCTTTATAGAGAATCGGCCGATTATATTATTTGGGTGATGTGATGTGATGTGGATGAATCAATTGCCATTCTAGGAAGCAAGATGCGTTTCCATTGGACAGAAGTAACCAACTCCACCCGATTTTAGTTGCCGTTCAAGCTCATTGATAGATTGATAAGATCGAACTGCCGCCTGAGCGTAACCCCCCTGCCCCGGACGTAATCGGATCTAACCGGAGGACTGGAAATGTGGGTAGAAAAAAAGGAGGTAATGAAAACAAGCTGTCTCACGGAACGTGCATTCGGATTCGGGCTCGGGGGGACCCGCATTTCGGCCGATTCTCGAATCCGGGTATAGGGTGCGGCGCAGCACCTTGTAGACAGATATATAGTCGACGAAGAGCTGAACTGAAATCTAATACGAAACGAAGAGGCTCATATCCTTCTAACTTGAAATTAATCTAGTCTGTGTTTAACATTTTCTGTTATTCATATACCTCCTAATTTTACGTATCCTAACACCCACTCGTCAAAATGCCCCTTAAAGTACTCATTATAGGAGCCGGTATAGGGGGGCCAGCACTAGCCTACACTTTGCGGCGCTTAAACCCAGACCACAACATTACCGTCATCGATCGCTACCCGGAGTTGCGTACCACAGGACAGCAGGTTGACCTACGGGGTCAAGGCATATCAACGATGCGAAACCTGGGGCTCCTAGACAAGGTGAAGGAGATAGGGGTGGAAGAAGAGGGCATCGCCATCGTCGACACCCACGGGAAGACGAAAGCCACATTCCGAAAATCCGAGACAGGAACAGGAAAGCAGTCCTTCACGAGCGAATACGAGTTCATGAGAGGAGACCTAGTCAAGCTTCTCCACGACGCCAGCCTAAAAGACTACGGCGGCAAAACTTCAAAAGACGGCGGTGTGCACTACGAGTTCAACAAATCCGTAACAGCCCTCACCCAGGACGCCGCGGGCGTCGACATCACCTTCTCGGACGGCACAACCGGGCGGTACGACCTCGTCGTCGGCGCCGACGGCCAATGGTCCAAGACCCGCAAACTGCTCCTCGGCGCGCCCGCCAGCGCCGCCGCCTTCCACAGCCTCAACCTCATCTGCGCGTACTACACCATGCCGCGCGCACCCGGCGACGACGCGCTGATGAAGATGTACGTGGCGCCGGGCGGGCGCGGGCTGACCACGCGCATGGGCTGCACGCCCACCACCACGCAGGCCTACCTGGGCATGCGCGCGGACCCGGAGGCCCTCGCCGTGCGCTGCGGCGCGCCGTTCGTGCGCCTGCCTCCCGAGAAACAAAAAGAGATCTTGGCTGAGGAGCTGCGCGACGCGGGCTGGCAGACGGACAGGTTTGTGCGTGGGATGCGGGACGCGGCCGACTTCTACGCGCATGAGATCGGCCAGGTGCGCATCGATGGGGCGTTTGCGAAGGGCAGGGTGGCGCTCCTGGGTGATGCGGGGTACTGCCCCAGCGCGATGACGGGCATGGGGACTACGCTCGCGCTACTGGGGGCGTATGTGCTGGCGGGCGAGATTGCGAAGCGTGGCGATGGGGATGTGGAGGGGGCGGTGAGGGGGTATGAGAGCACGCTGAGGCCGTACGTGGATGAGATTCAGAAGATCTCGCCGGGGGTGACGAACTTGTTCTTCCCGACGACGAGGGTGGGCATTTTCGCTATGCATACTGTGCTTGGGCTCATCGAGACGTTCAGGATTGATAAGCTGATCATGTGGTTGACGCCGGAGGATAAGGGGGGCTTGGCGATCCCGGAGTACCCGGAGATACGGTTTGAGGAGAAGGATGGAGAGAAGAGGTAGGGTGCTAGGGGGTGTATAGGCTGGGAATGGGAGAATGATCTCATGATGTTTTGATCAGTTATAGGGTGTCTAAGGAAATTGCATTATAAGGAATACTTATTTAAAGAGGTCCTGCTCATCTCATACGAGTCGGTTATAGTAAGGAGATAGATTAATGTATATTAATAGATTTGTAACTCCTCTTAGCACGCCTGTATCCTACAGAGTAATGTCCCCTATAGAAACTTTTCGCAGTAATACACTCTGTGGTTGAATCCCATATCTCTGAATGGTTAGACGTAGTGTCGACATAAGTTCACTATAAGGATGATACTATTAGGAGTGCGAGCCTACACTATCGTTACCCTACCTTTTTGGGCTGTATATAATATAAACATTTGTAACACTGGGGAATTCATGTCAATTTCTTAAACAATTTCTCTTTGTTTGGCATATGACCTAGGAGAGCCTCGGTAAATCGTGCATGTCGAGCTTTACTAAATCTTCAACCTCCTCCTTCTTCGGGCCTAAGGGGTGTGTATTAGTAAATAATTCTGAATACATGACATGACCTTCCAAAGCCCAGCGATACCTAATAGCTACGCACTGTTCATGATGAGACCATTTCATGTGATAATGGATTGTCGTATGTTGATGGGTGAATCGTCACGGTGTTGTTCTACGTCAAGTCGGGATGCACAAAAATCGTTGCATTCGGCATCGCCGTTTGGAGCTTCCATTGAGACATATTGTCAGGGCTCCGCAAATTCAGGGTCCAGATAGGGCAGCTAGTCGCCTCGAAGGATCATGAGCAAGCTTTTGGCCAGATTGCTTGTCTGTGAGGAGTCAGGGGTATACTGAATCCTTCAATTGTCTTTCCTGATTTTGTCAACAGCCTAGGCTAAAATATCTAGTTGGAGGCCTAGAGGATATCAATGAACCTATAAGGTGGACTACAAGAGCCCGAGAGTAGATAACTACTAACAAAGCACGAATTTATAGATAAACTTGTATGATACTCTCATATCGACAGCCTCTAACCTAACCTAGATAATTCAATCCATATCACCTGCAACGCCAGTACAATGACTCGCTTCTACGAAAACGTCCTCATCCTTACTGCAAGCACATCAACTCTAGCACTTGGTACGGGCTGGCCCAACTCCGGGACACAGAGCGGCCAGGTCCATGTATACAGCTGGAGCGAGGCCAGCAAAGTTGGGTGTCTAACAGCCGACGGTCAGTGGGCCGCCTCGGGACCGTGCGACACATTTACTTCAGAAGCCCTGGGCGAAGTCATCGTCGATAGATCCTGGACACAGCTCGAGATCCGGAACAGCGCGGGCGCGAAGTGCTGGTTTCCGGATGGGAACACGCTCGAGCTCGTATGTGGCGAGTCTATCGGCGACACTCTTTGGCTACACGCTTCCGACTATAAGGCTGATAGTAAGCTCATTGTAACGCCCCCATGTGTACTAGCAATATATGAGAGACTAATGTGGTCTTTAAAGTCCTGGTTCACAGTCGTGCCATTGATAGTTACGTGCCGCTGGATGGAACTGTCCCTACTGGTGAGAAGGTAGTCCCCTTGAAGAGCGAGGGACAGACCCAAGACGGGAATAATTACCAGCTTATTTGGGTCGCCCAGTAAAATGCAGTAAAATATTCCCTTAATATTAAATTAAAGTTCTCTAGATAGTCTAACGAGAGATGAGAACAGGGGCTATTAGTTGTTGTGTTGATATTGCCAAGTCAAGTTTGTGTTGTCACAATTCCACAATACACAGATTACTTGAGCCCTTGTGCCTTAGATTTGATTGTGAGAACGTGACACCATTTGCTTTTTATTCAATATCTCCTATATCTCCTAGCTAATAACCTACCACTTTAAAATGGAAGTATCACGGTAATAAGCAATAATATAAAGTAGGGGGAAAAGTAGATAGACGGCGTGCCTAGTAACGCTCCCAGAAATAGGAAAAAGAAGCTCCTTATATACCTTACTATGGAGCTTCGCCCCATAGTTTCTGGGAGCGCGCGCACTGACCACTATAGTTCTTTATACTATATTGGTGGCAGCTCCATAGGAAGGAATCTTTCGTTCGACCTCATCTGCGCTCGGACGGACGTCCCTGTCCCTTGAGAGCATAGAAGCACACAAGTCTCCTTCATTGCCATAAGGTCTGATTATCTGGAGCTTATCGACCATCAAGCGATAGCTAGTGTAATCATTTCCATTGTCATAAATAGTAAGGGCCTTCAAATCTGTTGCACCAAAGTAAATCGCAAGTATCTCGAAGTATACACAACCGAGAGAGAAGATGTCCGACTTGATATTTCTTGGCAATTTATTCCTTGCCACGAGCTCCGGTGCGGCGTACTCGAAAGTATAAAATGGGTTGGTACTGGCCGTTGTGCTTGTTGGCATGGAGCTGAAGTCCAATGCAATTCCAAAGTCGGTGTAGAGAACTTTGTTGCGATGTATCAAAATGTTCTCCGGCTTGGTGTCCTTGTGTAGAGTGGTAGTTCGATGGATGAAGGCGAGACCGTTAGCAAGGCCTCTAATTGCATCCATGAGAAAGTCTTTTTGGACCGTAGTTAGAGGTAAGGGGTCATAGAAGAGGTTTGCCAGGTAATCTTTAAGATTTCCTCTATCGGCGACGGGATCCATGATGAGACAGTATTGGTTCTTGTCCTCGACGGCAAATGCATTTACTAGGCGGACAACATGTTGGTTGCGGTGTTTCGACAACCTTTTCATGATGGCGATTTCATTCATGAAGCTGTTCTTGGCTTTTTTGATGCTCTCAATATCCTCATTTTTGATTTGGAAGGTTTTACAAGCATAAACCTTGCCCCCTTTTGTGTATGACACTGTCGACCGTTGCAAATCCACCTTTACCAAGATGCTTTCGTCTCTCGTAGTTGGTGTTGCTGTCACATTTCCCTTCTAGGCACTCCTCTTGCTTTTCGACCATTGGGC